AGCCTTTTTCTAGCCTTATTCAGTTCTGGAGGCTGCACCCTTTCCTTGGCCTCCTTCCACCTGCCAGGAAATCAATGCAGGGTCTTCAGCTCCACCTCAGACTCCTGCCTTCCCTCTTTCACTTATGAGGCCTCTGTGAATACATCAGGCCCACCGGATCATCCCTGATACCCTGCCTACCTTGAAATCAGCTGGCTAACAGCCTTCGTCCCTCTGCTGCCTTACGCCTTACTGCCCCATCGTCATGTGACATAACATGTTCACAGGTTCCTGGAGTCAGGTCATGGATGTTTGGGGGAAGCCATTATTTATTCTTTCTACCATAGCCTGGAAACCAGATAAATATGCCAATGAAATTGCCAGGCAACCTTGCTTATGGTAAAAATGTGTCCTGATTGGTCAATTACAGCTGGCCCGGGTGCAGCTAGAATGAACTGTAAATACTCAGTGTAGACACCACACTCTGCTTGTTTAGCATCTGTGTGATCAGAGGGTGCTGGGCAAGGCAGATTTTGTCAAGCAATCAAGATGTAAATTGAGTAATCGAGACTGAAATCACAAAATGCATCAAGCTTGACTATCGTCGTATTTAATTTGCAGAGTAGTTCAAGCTGGAGTAGAGAAGTTGTGCCCCTGGGATGGGGACAAAGGGGACGGTGTCCCCACTTGAATCCTGGAGCCCTGGTTGTCTTGTGATCCCCGGTCACTCTCTTCAGAGATCAAGATCATCAGCTCCATCTTGGGATGACTGAGAAAGAGCAAAATCGGTCGTGTGATGCTAAAACACGTCAGATGCCCATGCATACAGATAAAATAGGTGCACCCTTGGCCTTTCTTGTTGGTTTCTTTGTTTTTTTGTTTGAGACAGGGTCTCATTATGTAGCCCAGGCTGGCCTCGAACTCTCAGTCCTCCTGCCTCAGCCTCCCGAGTGCTTGGATTACAGGCGTGCACCGTGCCTGGCAGCTGCACCCCTTTCTGCTGTAGGAATTGTAACTTCAGGGGAATTAGCAGCTTCCATTTTTTTTTTCTTCTGGCAGTAGTGGGGTTTTAACTCCAGGCTTCATGCTAGCAATGCCGATGTTCCACCACTCGAGCTACGCCTCCAGCCCTTTTTGCTCTGATTATTTTGGACATAGGGTCTACCTTTTACCCAGCCCCCCCGGACCGCAATCCTCCTATTTTACACTTCCTGTCATAGCTGGGATGACAGGCATGAGCCATACCCAGCTATTGGTCGAGATGGGGTCTTATGCACTTTTTACCTGGGCTGGCCTCAAACCTTGACCCTCCAGTTCTCAGCCTCCTAAGTAGTTAGGATTACAGATGTGATCCACCAGTGCTTGACTCTCTCTCTTTTCAATCCTGTGTCACCGGTAATGTGACCCCATTGTTGGTTAGTTAATATGTGACATCTTTGTGACAACTCAGTACAAATTTATCTAAATGCTGGGACGGGAATTCTTAAATACAGATGCCGCTATGCTCCATCATGAATACCAGTAAGTAGAAAATGCATTTAACACACCTCACCCACCAAACTCCATTGTCAGCAACACAGCACACTGTGTGGTCGTCCCTGGGGATCACGGTCACGGCAGCTGCCCAGCTTCACGAGAGCATCTCCCTGCCGGGGAAGAGACCCAAGTTCAAAGGTACCATGTCTACGGGATGTGTGGCGCTTTGCGGCAGTGGAAGTCAGGGTTGTGTAAATGATGGCTTGGAATGCAGACCTTATGCAGAAGCCGTGCTACCTTGTGGGCTGGTCTGTAACAACTTTAGGAAGGCAGTGGCACCTTCCTCGCATTGCAGCATCTTTGCCTGGAATTGGACCAAAGAGCAAATCTGCACAGTAAACCCTGGACAATCCCAGAAATAGTGGCTCAAGGCCAAGGTGCTGCTAGTCACGCAGTTAGTGGGGCCCTCCAGGACAGCCCACCAGTCTGCATTTGGAAGTCCGAACCCCAGAAATTCATGTTTTCACAACAGGCATCCTGGCTATAGTTGTGACCTTGTTTTATTTGATTTCCAAATAGAATTTATTCAGTGAGGGCTGTGGGCGTGGCTCGAGCGGTAGAGCGCCTGCCTACCAAGTGTGAGGCCCTGAGTTCAAACCTCAGTACCACCAAAAGAAAAAAAGCCAGCCACATAATGTTGAATGAAATAAGTCACCTGTGATAAAAATGTCTGCATACATGTTTAAAGAAAAAGAATTTCTTTCTTTTTGGCAGTACTGGAGCTTGAACTCAGGGCCACACACTTGCTAGGCAGGTGCTCTGCTGCTTGAGCCACAAAATCAGTCCTTTTTTGTATTGGGTGTTTTCAAGATACAGTCACGCCAACTATTTCGTCCCAGCTGGCCTCAAACCTCAATCCTCCTGATCTCTGACTGCCCTAGTAGCTAAGATTACAGGCATGACAGAGAAACTAAAGCAGATACCTTAAAAGCAACTGAGGCCAATAGGAGAAGGGGACCAGGAACTAGAGAAAAGGTTAGATCAAAAAGAATTAACCTAGAAGGTAACACACACACACAGGAAATCAATGTGAGTCAACTCCCTGTATAGCTATCCTTATCTCAACCAGCAAAAACCTTGTTCCTTCCTATTATTGCTTATACTCTCTCTACAACAAAATTAGAGATAAGGGCAAAATAGTTTCTGCTGGGTATTGAGGGGGTGGGGGGGAGAGGGAGGGGGCGGGGTGGGTGGTAAGGGAGGGGGTGGGGAAGGGGGGAGAAATGACCCAAGCATTGTATGCACATATGAATAATAAAAAAAATTTTAAAAAAGAAGAGGAAGAGGTGGAAAAGAAAAAAAAAGATTACAGGCGTGAGCCACCAGTGCCCAGCTAAAAAGCAGAACTTCTTAAATGAGCACTTTTATCTTAGATTTCAACCACTTGAGCCATGCCCCAACACTTCTGTTTAGTTTTTTTCTCAAATAGAGTCACGTTTATGCCCAGGCCAGTCTGAACAGCAGTCCTCCCATTCACACACTGGGCACTCACCACCATGCCCAGCTTTTTTATTGGTTAAGATGGGGTCTTGATAACTTTTTGCCCAGGCTGGCCCGCAACCATGATCTCCCGATCTCTGCCTCCTGAATAGCTTGAGCCACCATGCCTGGCAAGAATTATGTTTTAATTTAAAAACCCTTTGAAGTCATCTGACCCACGTCTTCTGTGCTAAATGTGCTGTGGTTGAGATGAAGCGATTCGTAAGTCATGTGAGGACCATGTACATCATGTGATAAGCACGGTCACCTCGGGTTTTTACTTTCCGTGTGACCTTCTCCATCTTCACATTTTCCTACAATGACCATTCTTTATTTTTAATTATTATACTGTGGGTACATTGTGACATGTATAAAAGTGCTTACAACATGTCATACTTGAATTCATCCCTCCATCATTCTTCTTTGTCATTCTCCCCCCATTCCTGGAATGGTTTCAACAGGCCTCATTTTTCCATTTTCATTCATGAGTGCGTAATATTCCACCACATTCACCCTCCTACACTTTCCTTATATCCTCACCCCTCCCACTGGTGTCAACCCCCAGACAGGACCTGTTTTACCTTCCTGCCGTTTTTTTTAAAAATCCATTTTTGTTTAAGTTAGCTACACAGGGCATTTCCTTGTGACATTTCCATGTATATATGTATTACAACCCGAACTGGTTCATTTCCTCTGTTTTTCTCCTTTCTACCTGAGTCCCCTTCTTATGGTGATTTCAACAGGTTTAAAAATTCTATATTCATTCTTGTATAGAAAGTCCATCAGCCATGTTCACCTTCTTAATGTCCTTCTTTGACCTCCCTCTCTCGTGTGTGACCTCCCCTTAGGATGACCTGTTTTTCAATATATTGCTGCATTTGTATTAGGTCTGTATTCCACATATGAGAGAAAATATGCAGCCTTTTACCTTCTGAACTTGACTAGCTTCACTTCCATCCATTCACCTGCAAATGACAAAATTTCATTCTTCTTTGTGGCTGAATAAAATTCCATTGTGTATAATTACCACATTTTCTTAATCCATTTGTCACTAGTGGGGCATCTCGGCTGTTTCCATAGCTTGGCTATTGTGAATAGTGCTGCAATAAACATGGCTGTGCAGGTGTCTTTATTGTAACCTGAGTCACATTCCTTCAGGTATATCCCTAGGAGTGGGATTGCTGGATCCCACGGCAGTTCTATTTTTACTTTTTGAGGAGCCTCCATATTGTTTTCCAGAGTGGTTGTACTAATTTACATTCCCACCAGCAGTGTATGAGGGTTCCTTTTCCCCCACGTCTTCACCAATATTTGTTGGTGGTGGTGTTCTTGATGCTAGCCATTCTAACAGGTGTGAGGTGGAATCTTAATGTGGTTTTGATTGGCATTTTCTTATGGCCAGGGACAGTGAGCATTTCTTCATGTGTTTTTTTAACCATATGGACTTCGTTCCTTGAAAAAGCTCTGTTAGTTTATTTGCCCATTTCTTCATTGGGTCATTGATAAAAATGGCCATTTTAAATTAAAAAACAGGTGATATATGGAAATATAGTGTATTCTAACAATTCATACAATTAATATGTTAATAATTATAAAAATGAATCTTTTTCAAAAAAAGAAGAAAATGGTATGAACTCTTTCCGTTTAGCAGGTGCTGGCTGGAGCTAAAATGGGGGGGCCAAGCAGCTAGGCACACAGGTCTGTGGGGAGGCCTGTCTGGGAAGGCCTGAGGAGGCCTTGGCCTCCATGTTGGGTCCCAGGCTGCTCTGTGTCATCCTGGAGGTTCTTGTTCTGCTCTCCCCTGAGAATCCCCAGGCTTGCAGGGAAAGCTGCTGAGCTGGGTGGATGGAGGGGTTAGCAGCTGTGGGAGCAGCTGGGGAACCCAAGATCAACACACATCTCTGGTTGTCTCTCAGCCCCACAGACAAACCTCAAATCAGCCTCTCGTCTGACAGCTGACTGCTGCTACTATAGCCTGTGTCCCCTACCCGGGCTTGTCCCTGTAACACCTCTCAGCAGGTAAGAGAGCAACTTGTCCTGCCCAGGAATGACTTCTCTCTGCAGAGCTGGAGCATGGGGCCTAGACGACACTCGGTGTTAGGATCCCTGTGGTGAGGCCAGCTCCCTGTGCCATCACTTTCTCCTAGCAGAGGGCTCTGTCCTACCCACCTCCCCACATAGCAGACCTGGGGCCTTATTAAGTCTAAGCATAGTGAGGTATGATGACATCCACTCTGACCCAGAAATCCTGACACAGTGTTCCGTGTCAGGTCTGGCCAGCAGTCCTAGATGGAAGCACCTCTCAGTGGCCCCTGCCCTGACCCCCAACTTACTAAGTTGGGAGCCACAGGTGAGGCCCACGAGAGGTCCCTGGATGACCAGTCTTTGTGAGGGCACTCCTGTGTGCCCCAGAAGGAAGAGCTGTCTTGCCTCATGGCAGGGGGGGCCATCTTCCCTTTTGCCTCATCTTCCAGACAGCCAAGCACCAAGTCCACGCCCATGCATCCGATGTGCATGGTTAACCTTATTACACCCTACTTTGTCCTCAACACATTTTCTTCTTGGGTCGAGTAGGGCATACATGCTCACAGAGGCATGAGAACAGAGACATACATGAGTCACGTGGACGTACAAAAGGCTACCGAAGGCATCAGAGAGGGTGGGGGCTCAGGAGCCCACGGGGTCTGACTTGAAAATCTCCATTGTCTGTAGCTACAGTTGGCAGAAGCCATTTCCTTCCCCCCCCCCCCGGCTGTCCAGGGTGGCTCACACTCCACAGTGCGCAGCCTCTACCTGCCACCACTCTCCAAGGGTGCGTGGGTCCCAGGGAAGCAGGATGGAGCATGTGGGGGGGTGTAGAATCCTGTTGCTGGGGACTGGCTGGTCCCTGGGTTTCAAGTCCCCAACCCTTATGGGTCTCCCCTTGTTGCTGAGTAAAAGCTCCCAGCAAGAGGGGTGCACACCTGCCGAGCTCTGATTTAGGTGGCAGACCTATCTTATAACCAGAATGCTTTATTTTTTAAAACATTACCTGTGACCAAATAAAATGCCATCAGACCTCATCTAGTCAGAGAGCGTGTCCCGCACACCAGGGTCCTGGCCACGGTCTCCCTCCTCACTCTGCACCGTCAGAAACTGTTGTCACTTGTCCCCATGGCCAGGACCGTTGTCACTGGTGTTTGTTTGTGTGACCTGTCCTTAGCACTTGCATTTGAATCATCAGGTTCCTCCCAGAGCTGGTTGGGTGTGCAACTGTGATCTACAGGACATGCTTTCTTGTGGGGCAACCGGCATTGCAGTGTCTTTTCTTGGTCACCTGCCGTGATTGTGTGTCAGGTCAGGGAGAATTTCTTCCCCATTCTAGAAAAGTAAATCTGTACATAAAAATGGGGGGGTGGGGACATGTATGTGAGACAGAGATTGCTTAAAAACAAACTCCCAACGTAAAGTCTGCAAGCTTTTGGAGTGGTCACAAATTAAAATTAATTCTAAAGCAATTTTACTCACAGGAAATGTGCTTATAGCCACGGGTTGCTGGGGAGGTGTCTGAGACAGGGAGGAGAGCACTCAGCCAGGCTTCAAAGCCTGGCATTTGGGCTCTGGTTCCACAAAATTCGGCAGTGGGACCTTTGGCTATTGGCTTAATTTCTCTGAATTTTGCACTTTTCTTTATTTACAAAATGAAAAGCAATACTGTCCTGCCAACTTTAAGGGCTACTAGAGGAATGAGTAAGCAAGTGTGTGAAAGTACTTGGTCTCTATCAAATGCCCAGGTGTTAGTCCCAGTGCTCAGGGTGGCAGGAAAGTAACTATGGGCCTGTCAGCTTCTCACTGTCCCCAGGGCTGAGAAAGCCTTTCTGAACAGACGCTCCTTCTGTCTCCTGCTCCAGGGGAACCTGGCTGGGACGGAGAGGCTGGAGGTGGTGGGAGGATGGGGGAAGGGGTGCCTGCCTTCCTGGGGGACCAGCACCTGCAGCCTTTACCCTGTGGTCACTTCCAGGAGCTGCAAGATGAAGGAGGGCATGTCTAACAGCAGCACCGCCAGCATCTCCCAGGCCAGGAAAGCCGTGGAGCAGCTGAAGATGGAAGCCTGCATGGACAGGGTGAAGGTAAGTGATCATCACAGCCTCCTCCCAGGCCAGAGCAGCCTGCCAGGCTTAACAGGTCACCTGCAGAGTTCCTAGCCACCTTGGCGGGAGTGTTTGCTGAGCCCAAACTCCTAGGCTTCCACATGTCAGGTGCAGCACCTGCCCCTATGGGCCAAATGGGGCCTGATGAAGGCACAGAAAGGAGATTGTTACGCAGCCTGGGACATGCAGGAGGAGGCACAGTAAGCATTCAGTCCTCCTTCAGCCATCTTTGGGGTACAGACACGAGCTTTAGCTTCAAATAGACAAAGAATTCGGACAGGGTCACCGGGTGTGCCAGGGGCCGAGTGTGGCCTGGTTGACCGCCATCTCAGTCCTGTTCTTGTTCTTCGGGTTCTGGGGAAGTTATTGCTGTCATCACTGGAGGGGAGTGAGCCAGTTCCCAGGTCATGATTGCTCCCGCTCCACGGCGCAGCCTCGTCACTACAGGTTATTGTCCTCATTTGTTGGGGAGGTCTGCCCTGCAAGGCTCTGCTGTTCCTTAGGGGTAGTTTCAGTGCCTTATTATAAAGATGTTATCGACCATTCCTGTCCTTTCTTGATTCCAAGGTGGCTGCAGGAGAGAATGGCTCAGAGCAAAGGACAACAGGTACAAAAGGGAGACAGAGAGGCCAAGCTTTTCTCTTGTCTTTGGTTAATTTATGGGCCCAAGTAAGGCCTCAGTGCTTTTCAGCAGAAAGGTTTAAGCACCTCATACAAGCATGCCCAAGGATTCAAATGATGCAGGATACATGATGCATGTGAAATCCGTGAGGAGGCACCAGAAATAGACTCCTGTCAGTCTCGGCTGTTTGACTATGTCGTCATCCAATAAGCGAGACAGTCAGACAGTGAGAGCAGTCAGAGTTTCTGCCTGGTGCCATGACACTGAGGTTAGATGACATCGCATATTTTGATGGGCACTGCCGGGTGAAGCACTGAACCATGTCTGTGTTTGTCACATACTCCCTAGGGGAAGTAAAGAAAGGTGCCAGGCACCTCCTACTCTGTGCATTCACTGCTGAGTGCAGGTCTCTGCCCGCTGAGTGACAAAGTCACCATTTCTCCACAGGCCATGGAGAGACAGGTGGAAGCCAGGCAGGTGTGTGGTTCTGCAATGCAGCTGAGCTAGGGGCCGTGAGAGTCAGAAGGAAGGAATGCCCTCGGGGGAGCGCCAGTCCAGCCCTTGGTGCCTGTGGTCTTTGGGGACACAGACCAGGTCTTGCTCAGGCATCTAGGATTCACAAAAGAGACTCCATGGGAACGGGCGACTCCTAGATCCTTATTGACAGAGCCAGCCTCCCTTCTCTCAGAGGGAGCTCTGATGATGGCTACACAGTACCAACTCTCACCTCTGTAAGCAGTGATTCTCATCCCCTGGGGCTTCAGGGTACAAACTGTGCACGAGGTCGGAAAGCATACTCAGAGAGCATCAGGAGACCATGGAGGAAGGAAGGATTAAGTGGACGCAGTTACCTGACCGTCTCCATCCTGGACATGTCCAAAGCAGCCATGCCTTGACTTCAATCTGGAATGTTCTCTGAAGACCTGGTGCTAGAGGCTTGGTCCTCAGCTCAGCACTGTCAAAGGCAGTGGAGCCTTTAAGAGGTGGGAGGTTTTGATGACCGAGGGTCATGCGTTCAGAAGGGATTGAGGGACTCTGGGCTCTTCTTTTTCTCTGTCACAACCTGACCCTGAGGTGAGTGGCTTTGCTCTGCCATGTGTCCCAGCCATGCGGTGTTGCCTTTTCCCCCCAGAGGCCTAGAAGCAATGTCTCCCCCGGAGTCATGGACTGGCACCTCTGAAACTGGGAGACAAAATAAACCTTTTCTCTCTCTAAGTTGATGATCTCAGTGAGAGAAAGCTGCCTGACAGAAACTGAAAATCAGGTGTCAGTCCTTGGTCTCTAGGAGAGAGGAAGGAGTGAAGTTAGCATGCAGAAAACAAGTTTCAACAGAGATATCCCCGATAACTGAGCAGGATTCAGACGCAGATGAATGATGCAGACAGTTTGTGGTCCCTCGGTGGAAACACAGACAATCAGCTGAGAGGATGAGGATGTGGTGAGGAAGGTCCCTGAACACCGCTCTGCTGCTGCAGGGTCCTGGGGTCTCAGAGTGGACAGATGTCTCCACCACAGTGTTGGAGTTGGGAGTGGTGACTGATCCTGGCTGGACAGGGAAAGGCTGGGTGAGCCAACCATTGCCCGGGTCAGCAGCTGGAGTCAGGAGACCGCTGTGGACAGTTGGGAAAAGGGCATGGCATGCACAGGTGCAGATCAGAATGACTTGGAGGACAATGGGAGCCATGAGGTGTTTGAGGTGAGCCACCTGCCAGCATTGGGTCTGACTGTGACAGTGGGGAGGCTGCTGAAGCTCTGAGTGATGGGAGGAGCAGGGAAGGGGAGAGAGAAGTTAGAACTCGGGGCTCAAGTGCCTCAGCTCACAGCCAGGGGCTGGAAGACAGCAGACACTGGTTTCAACCAGGGGCAGTAGCTGGACCAGGGAGTTCTGCTTTAGCAAAGGAAGATAAACTCAGCAAAAACAGGTGCTCTGCCATAAACACTACCCAGCAGTCAGCACAAGGAAGAACTATATGTAAAAGCAAAGCAAAGGGGTCCACAGGAAATCTCAGCTGCTCAGTTTCAGTTCTCCACCTGGAAGCCCAAAGTTCAGCCCAGTTCTGGAGTTAGCCCAGGCACCATGGCAGACACCAGTCATAAGTCCCAGGTTCTCAGATGACCTGCATTTCTGTCAGACTCTGGGCAAATCAATGGGTTCCCAAGGATTCTCATCCCCAGTTTCTACCATTCTCCAGAGCGACTCACAGAACTCAGGAAGTCACTTTACTAACCGTTTCCAGTGTATCTTAAAGATTACAACTCTCGAACAGCCAAATGGATGAGCTGCAGAGAAGAAGGGATTGTGAGGTCGTGGCCACAGCTTCTGTGCCCTATCTGGGAGCGTCACCTCCCAGCACATAAATCAACCTGGAAGCCCTCCAAACCCCATGGATTAGGGTTTTGGTTTGTTTTTTTTTTTGGGGGGGGGGTCATTACATAGACACCATTGATTAAACACTGGTGACTGAATTCACTGGTGACTGGACTCGGTCTCCAGCCCCTCTTCCATCCCTAGAGATCAAGGGCCATTCTGCCATTCCTAGTTCCAATGCTAATCATAGCTTGGTCTTCCTGGTGACTTGTCCCCATCCTGAGCTATCTAAGGACTCCACCCACCCACCATCCCCTTAGCATGCAAAAGACACTCGTCACTCAGAGACTCTAAGGGTTTTAGGACTCTGCACCAGGAATTAGGGACAAAAATCAAATACTTAATGTTTACCACAATCTAATATAAAATCTGACAGTGCACTCCTCTCCCTTAAACCCTACGGTGGACGAACATGTCCCCTTAGCACTGTGCACGAGCCTCCTGAGGCAGTGCACTCTCCTGACCACGCCATATTGTAGCGTGCCCTTTGGCCTGCTCACCTGCCTGTCCCATCTGCCTGGAAAATCCAGTGCCGGTTCAGATGGTAGAACAGACCCTGACCTGGGAGCCTGGCCTTTCACAGACTCATCTGCTTACTCCAAAATGGGGCTTAGCCAAAGCCGAGAATACTCCTCCTCCCACTGTGGAGAAGGACCTGCTGTTTGGAGAAGGCATTGCACATCTTCGGAGGGAACAAGCTAAACAATGTTCCTGACCTGTGACTTTCCACCTCGCAGCTCATCACCTCCAAGGGCAGGAAGAGGGGACAGTCTTCCAGCCCAGCTGTAAAGAGAATATCCAAGCATGGCTTCAGGAGACAAGGAAGGAAGCCAGAAAGAATCTACTTAAGCTGTCCTCAAGCAAATAGCAGACTTGAGGTAGAGCTGCCTTCCTGTAAAGAATAAAAGAAAAAATTAGACCTGTGTAACCCTTCTGCCAAAAGAACAAAAAAAAAAAAAAAAGGACCAGAGCAGCACACACAAGGCAGCTAAGCATTCACGTCAGAAGCCTTCTTCCAGAAAACCAAAGGAAACTTTAAGCAATTGCTTTAAACGCTCCAAAAAATGTAAACAAAATCTAGGAAACGAGCCCAAAGGAGAGTTAAAACAAGTGAGTTAAAGGGAAGGAGAAAAGCTAAGGAACAAATTTGAGGTGCATGGGGAAGACCATGAGGAGCAGTGAGCATAACACATGCTGCAGAAGACAAAATTGATGACATGGAGGACACCGTGTCACAAAGTGACACCTCACACAGTGAGCAAGAGAAAAAGATGAAGAGTTGGATCAAAGCATTTGGAAGATGACAGAAATCAAGACTGACCCTGTCCCAATGTTGGGACACTGATGCTCCTGGTACAGAGAACAAACAGAATAGAAAAGACTCATGAGGACATAGCAAGGCAAGGCTTCGTTACCCAGAGGACGTGCTGAACCTGAAGATCCCAGTGGCCTGGCACATCCAAGAAGTATTCTACAGAAAACGATCCACACCCAGACAAGTGCACTGGCGAGTTTACTGATGCTTGAAAGTAAGGAAATATACCCAGCACCACCAAAAAACGTGTAACGAAAAGGGGAAAAAGAACAATTCTTAAATAATAAAAAAAATAAGGAAGTCCATTAAATACACTGGCAGAAGCACCCGCTTTGGACAGTGTACCTCGCTTTTATTGAATTCTGCATGTGTGTTACCAAGTGCTTCAGTGTTTACAGCGGCCTGAGATCTTGCTGCTACCAGTGCCCCGATTCACAGACAGGAAAACTGAGTTTCAGAGGTGCTCGGTGACCACAGGAAGCGACAGCCTGAACCTCAAGTATCTCCCTGAGCCACAGAGCCTCTCTGCAAAGGAGGGAAGCCTCAGTGTGGACACTTAGCCAAAGCCCAGCAGATGGCGGCCAGGGCTGGAGGTGTGGCCCAGGTGGTACAGTGGTCACCTAGCAAGCATGAGGCTGTGAGTTCAAACCCCAGTACCAGTAAAGAAGGACGGG